AATCATTCTAAGCAACATATGGCAATCTGCGGTCTTTCCTTGCACTTAGGTGGCACGGAAAGCCGTAAAAATCTTGAACAAAAGCTCATCTTTCAAACCGGCAGTCTAAATCCCACAGGGATCAATGAACGCTTTTCATTCCACTAATTTATTCATGTTTTTCTCGTTGCCATGCACCCACCAATAACGTAGCTCCATTTTCTGCCTTTAAAAGCACACACAACCCACAATTCCTCTATTCGCTCCGACGAAGGGCTAACGCTCGAAACGTCAGCTTTTGTAATCATTACGGTGGCCAATTTACCATTTCAACTTTGTTGATATATCCAGATTATTTCGTTACTCCCACCGACGCAGCCCCAAACAGTTTCTTTCGAAACTATCAGCCTTTATTCATTCGGAAAATAAAAACCTAATCGAATGAGGAACTCAACGCACCTATGAGAACCCTCGAAAATCATGGGCGGGTTAATAGTGTGGGAAATGTTTGCCCTGCACCGAAGCTTAACTAAAAGAAGCCCGAAATCACATGTTCCGATGTTTAAGTATCTGTCATTGTAAGTCCCGGATGTAACCCATCCGGGATAATGATAAAACGCGGCACAAGCTGCATAAAATATTCTATTCCCTTTGGTAATAAATGTCATTTGTCTTGATACCCTTTGATCATTCTGTTTGATTTTTTCACATTTTGGTATTATTATTGTTATTTCTCCCATTATTATAATTATCATTATTCAGCTAGAATTCAAGTAGCGTGATTTCTCTTCTAACTATGATTAAACGCGACTTTCCAGGCTGTAGTCGTAAACATGAACATTTGAGTTTTCTTAACAATTTAGACAACAAGGAATAAAGCTGAAATAAGCACTTTTTTTTAAAAGTAATCACCAGTGGATGATTTATTTTAAAATACCTTTCATCTGTCGTCGCCGGGTAGCGAAAGTCTGGGGAGCACGGCATGAGACACTGAATGATAATAAGATTCAATAGGTGCTGAGGGAATTTTGGGTAATCATCATAACGTAATCTTTGTCTTGTCACGGAAGAGGAAATCATTTTCACTGGAAGACTTGTGATATAAATACAGATACTCATCTAACATTTAGCCATCCAGCAAACTAGAAGAGCTAAAATGGGATTTGTTATCATTTCGTTTTATATCTCATTCCTTTGTGTGATTCAACATTCAGGTGAGTCACTGTCTAAGAGATTTTTATCACACATTAATTTGATTATGGTAAGCGTCAACTAAAAATTGCAAAAGATGAGCAGACGCATCATTCCTCAATCGTTCTTTGTTGTAAGACAACAAAGAAGAAGAGCGAAAAAGTCCCTCTTTTAGTGAGATGGGATCGCATATTCATTGTTGTACGATCGATCTCGTTTACAAAATCAAATAAGTAGATAATCGCCATACTTACTGAACGGTTGTAAACCAGCCGAACAGGGAAACTGATACTATCGAGTTGCGTTTTGATCCAAACTAAATGAGGTCGGCCAGAATTATGTCTCATAAGAGATCTCCTATCTTTTGAGCTAGTGACTGTCATAGAGCTATAAATCTAGTTCCTCGTCGTTTCGCAGAGATTATCAAAAGTTATTTTTACGAAAGATCACGCCAGACACACAAAATTTATGCATCAGCACTGTAAATGATCTTGGTTTTTCGGTTCTACGTTATCCAGTGCAGTGAAAGATATCTCAGACGATGTTTTTTCACTATGCTTATTTGTAAATGCTACAAGTTTGTAAAATGAGGAGTTCGCTGTGATAAGCTGGGAAAATGTCCAGCGGTTAAAAACACCATTACTTTGTTGTCGAGAAAATGTTTTCATCCACATCAAACGTTCCTATCGTGCCTCTCGAGTCACATCTACTGTAGAAGAGAAGAGCGAGCAAACGGGTACCCCAGCTTGTTAAATATGCTATTCTAAACAAATGCACAAAGCCCTAATCTTTGATTGCTTGTAGATACGAGTGGTTGCAATATTCTTCTTTATGCCTCGGTTCAACTTTGGAACATCTGGATGACATTCAATTTTATTTTAACTCAGCGCCCAGAGGTCAATTAACATAAACATTTTGTGGTTTTTATTCAAGAATATCTAATTCTAGTTGATGTTATGCAAGACTGCGTTGTAGCCAAACAATGATGGTAAACGTTGCTTTGTCACATAAGGTTAAGTAGCACGGTTAACAGTTAAAAATAAGCCTTTTTGCGGGTAGACATTTAAATTTTCGGTCAATTCAGTGTTGACGGCTAATTTTTTTGAATGTCGTTTATAAAACGAACTATACGCGCGAATTTGACTGTAATTTTTCGTAATGACGCGTTTGTAAAAATTGTTAGTTTATAACACCTTTATTAATAAATGACTAACGTATTATGACAGGCGAAGTGTCTCCACACCGAAATTCAGTTCTGTGGCTAACCAGGTTTACTCGCGACTGGGAGTTAAATGACTTACATAAACGTATTTTTGTGAGATATCAAAACTTTTATTCATAAACAACAGAACTTGACCTCAATTAGGACAAGCGTTTAGTTCTTTATTAAGGGTATCTTAGACATTTAATGGCTAACATTGGCTCGCTTATTTGACTGTTGACGGTAAAAACTGGAAGCTAGAAGCTAAAGTCGCACTTGGCTATCGCCTCGTGCGACTCTTGCGCTTCTTTCGTGCTTAGTAACCTCTCATGTGCATTCATAACTCGATGGTTGCTCGCTGCACTCTAGCTGTTTCTTAAATTCTATCATGCAAATGAAAAACAGACATCGAAAAATGTTAGTTGGAATCTTAGTGTAAAATGTGAAACATTGTTATTGGACATAATGCCGGAATAAAAATGGAAATCTGTCATTGCGAAAGGAGAACTCTACCCACCAGATGGATGAGTCAGTCACTTAAACAAATGTCTAGATATAATGAATGCGTTGACTATGTAAGAGAAACCTTCCCCATAAAACCATAAAATACAAATCTGTAATTTAAAAAATTATCAGGCGCTGTGGCTGCGCGTAGTCAACGAATAGTTCAAAATGCGAGACATGACACTTAACCTGAGGCGTCGTGCATACGCCATCTGCAAGGAAATTAAACAAAAATGTCACGCCACTTCTGTTTTACAGAAAAAAACTTCGATGATGGGATGAAGACGTAAAAACAGTCTTGATGAGTAATTGACGATTATTCACCCAAGTGAAGGCGAATAGCACCTAACATTCACGTCTGTCAGTCTTGAGGGAGACTGAATGGGTGGTTTCATTTCTTAAGCACTGACATCTTTTTATTTTTACATCTGCTTCCTAAAATTTTCCATGTCGCTATCAATCTCAAACAACAGGTCATTTACCTAACAGTTTTCCTTTTGCTTAACTGCAGAGTCCTTCAACTGGACATTAAAACCAGCCAATCCAACATTGGTAACAAAAGGAGAAGACAATTCACTCACATGGAAGTTCAATCTAACTGCTGATGAAGAGACTAACAGTCAGACATTCTATCTTATTCAGTGGACAAAGTTAAGTCAGACAAGTTCAGATTATGATGTGATTGCTTCCATAACCTTTTTGAATCTTGTTGGGATAGCTAGTTACACTGAACCCAGAGCCCCACATATTGAGATTGTCAGAAGTGATCAAGCCACATTACTCATCAAAAATGTCAGGACAGAAGATGAAGGAACGTACAAGATTGAGTACAGTGTACGATTTGGTGGGACTCCTATTGCTGACCATGAAGTAAATGTTACAGTTTTAGGTAAGGTACAAGTTAGCAATTGTCTTCTTACAAAGTACTTTTCGGGGTAATTATGAAAGTCCATGCTTAACCGGGATGCATTGTAGGTGAAGTGGGTATTCTCAGCATTTTCTGTATTACAGAGAAGGAAAGCTATATGTTTGTGTAATATTATTCGACTAAATATTCGCAATCTTGATCGAGAACCGGCTATTTATACCCAACTCTTGTTTCTTTGAGTGTCTATCGTTTCTTTGTTCTGTAGTTTCTGGGTTTCATTCCGCGCTCGCGATAATAAGGTCATCGAAGAGAGGTCGTCCTGCAAGGGATTACTACATCAATTTTGAAAGCATGGTATGGGCGAAAAAAAAAGAAGCTTTAGGATTTGGCAAAAAAAAAAAAAAAAAAAAAAAAACCAGTCGCGAGTTCACAGTGGCCTTGTTACTCAGTTTTTCGGAGGAAAGTCAAACGGAAAGCTTCTCTCGGCATCTCGATGACCGCCAGACGAGGACGCATTTATAATCGATCGCAAGCCTAATTCTATGTAAGGTTTTGAGAGACTTTTATCTCCTGGTGAGAGTCTAATTCAAAGACACATCCCTCCAAAATTTCATCTTGGTATCCTCTACTTTATGGGTATTTTTTGAAACACTGTATGTTTTAATTGTTACGCAAAAATGTAGTGATTTTCCGTGTGGTTGTTCTGGTATATTTATTCCTTGTTTTCGGCATTTTAGCGTTCTCAATTCAAGCGAGTTTCTTTTATTGTGATGTTTCAAAAATTATAGGAAAGCCACAGTAGTTTTTGGACATGTATTCCGCGTTTTTACTTTGTCTTCATTATGCAGCTGCCTATAAGTATTTTTCTCGTTCAGTTTTGGTGAAATTTAGGTAAATAAAAGTGTTAATGATCTTTCTGGGAAAATTAGTTCTCATGGTAGTTGACAGCTGAGTTTATACTCGTAACTTCAATTTTCCTTTCATGCGATCAAATTTAACACCAACCTTGCTTAGATAAGCAGAAACTTTTAAGTGTATTTTTCATTTTATTTATAAGCTGCTCTGTTGTAATTACCATGGGTATACTTTCAATATCAAAGCTGCGAATTCCACCTAAGTTTCCTATTTTTAAAAGCCTAAAGTTCATTGAACCTGCTCTTTCGTTTTCGACATATGAATATTTCAGTATAAATCAATTAGTTTCAGAGACTTTTTCCGTTCTTATTGAAATATTGTCAATTTAGGGAACAATAGAACCACGCGCTCGATAGTAATTAAGCAGCCAAGCCTTGTTGATTACATCGCTGATTACATCCTCGATTACAAAGCTGAAGAGGCTAGAAGTCATGGCGCTTGGAACCAAAACGCTGTCTCATCCTTGACGTCCGTATAAGCTCGCTCGAAGTGGATCTCCGTGTAGCAGGAAATCGTGGCTAGTTTCCGTTCTCACAAGCCAAGTGGTCTCTACCGATATATTTTCCCCCGTTTGGTACGTTTCCCGCAAAGTCCAGCTTGGCGCGCGAAAAACCATCGTCACATAATTTAAAATGAAGCGTGACGAGTTTTATTCGTGGGGGGCGCAGCGCTTCTCCTCTTACGAATCCTTTCCTTGTGCCCAGCGAACGGTGCCTGATATTTCAGCCGTGAATAGTGATTGTATCGCGGTACAGTTGTTGCTTGCCCGTCTTACAAATTCTTCAGTTTTGTCTTTGGTTCTGTTCCACTGACAGTTAACGTCGTCAATATACCTCTTCCAAAGTAGCGGTTCAGTTGTGCTCCGGGTGATAATAACCTTTTTTTTATTTTCGCCATGAAAATAGAGGCAAAAGCTACTGCTGTTATGGTATTCTTTGCTGTTTCGTGAGTTTGTAAGAAAAAATATAGTGCTCCCGAATAATAACAATAACAATGGCGCAATGTTTCCTATTTTTGAGATGTGCCCCCAGTAAGTTACAAAAAATAAACAAAAAAAGTAAATTAAAAAAAAAAAAACTGGAAAAGTTGCTCTAAAGCACAATTTGGGAAAGGTTACAAGAGTACTTCGTTTACAAGACCTATTTTTCTTTGCAAACGTTTTTAAAAACATGTCTGAAAATGTATGGCAGACATTTGAGAATGAATATCCTATTGGTTGCATTAAAATGATTATAGAATCAGGTGGAAAAAAACGCTGTGTTGCTCAGTCGTATTACAAGGAAGTAAATATGACTTTTTAAGTGACACAGGAAGTTGGCTGTAATCGAGGAATAAACTATATCTCTTAATTCAAAACCGTATTACTTTGAAGAACGCCCTCAGATTGTAACTACAAGCAAGAATCAAGATGTTTGCGAGGGTTCTACGGTTACTTTGAGTTGCGATGCAACTGGTAAACCAGCACCAAATATTACTTGGACAAGAGTGCGGGAAAATGGCACTGACAGTAAAGAATTACCGTCTGTGGATGGGTATCATGTCATACACAATATCAGCAGAAGCTCTAATGGGACATACCGCTGTACAGCTTTCAGTGGAGTTGGGGATCCTATTAATCAGACATTGGAGGTGATTGTAGGAAGTAAGTTCATATTCTCTCATGTTCTCAATTGTGCTCATGTTCTCATTTGTGACAGTTTCTTGAAGGAAGATATTCCTGATTTGTTAGAATGGTTATCACCATTATTCAGTCATCTAATATTATGATCAAGGTAAAGCGTTTTCTAATAAATAATGGTGTAATTGATATCTACTATTCTCTTGTCAACCCACCTCTTATTAATGGTTGCTTACTTTGAGGAAATAAAAAACGTATTTCATAACAACTGAAGGTGGCTCGTACCAGTTTCCTCGCGCGGGGAACAGATCACTCTTGCGTCACGCGCGAGAGAAACGTGCGAAAGAAGCGCGAGATTAAAAGACGAAAATTCAAAACAAAGATGGCGGCGCGAGGATTTTTTTCTACTTTTGTGAGAAGTTTACCTAAGAGCTTGTATTTGATGTGTTGAGCGGCCACTGTGAATGCAGGAGATAGAAACTAAGATAACGAAGACGATTTTCGGAGAAGTAAAGGTTGCTTCACTTCACATTTAAAAGAAATATTCAACCGATATGAAATCTTGCGACGGCGAAAAAAGAAGAACTCAAGTGAAGGATAATCTACCTGAAGTGGAAGAAGACTTTGAAACTTCAAGGAAAATAATATGATATAGCCAGAAGTCATGTGTAGGATTTTTAAGATGAGCTCGGGAGGCTGTCTTTGACGGCTGTTTAATGATTTTCTTAGCAGTAAACGTCTGTAAACATCAGATCGTAGGTGCTCGCGCGAGCACACGCAATTGTCAGCGGTAGCTAAAACAGATCATGAGCAAATGTCGATCTTATAGAATCCAGATTTTTAAATGCGCGAGAACGCGCGTGGAAATTGCTAAACTCACGAAAGCTATTGCATGAAAACGAGTCCGGTGACCCCTTCTTTTTATTATTTTAACATGATAATAACGTCGAAAGGTATCATCCAAAAAAAAAAACTAGAAAATTTTACGGAAAGAAATTTGCGATGTGTGAAAATTGCCCTTTATGTAGATTTTCTGAAATTCCGCTCCGTAGAATTTTTTGAAAATCTTTGTGCATTTTCCTTTTCAAGTGCCAAAAGCAATCACTGATAAAAATCAGAGGGTCACTGGGTTAGTTTTCGAATTATTTAAGCCAGAAGCTAAAAAATGTGTCTGAATACGCCTATGAAAGCGTTGCCATGGAAACTGCTAGTGACGAAATGACACTTATCTTTGGATAACCAATGATTATATAATTGAACCCCGTAAAATTGTTCAACTGGCCTTGGTCAGTCTTTCTGTTGTATTCTTTCAAAGTTACAAACCATCATAAAGATGAAAACCGGTACGAGCCACCTTAAAAGATTACAAAATATAGCAGTTGGTATAATTAATGATGCTCCTTTACGCGAATCTATCACTCCCCAAAATGTAGATTTACGTGTACTAAAAATTCCGTGAAACTGAAAAATGAATACATGTCGGTAGTAAATGGTTTGACTTCCGCACAGGTTGTCAAAACGTCAGTCGCCACCACCGACAATAGTCTCTCTCAGGACTACACTCACCCAGACGATCACACCACACTTTCACATGAATTCATGTCTATTCTTGCATGAACATCTTTTTGAAAATAAGCCACGTAATTTCTCAATAGCTCTGGTATCTGAGCAACACAATCAAATTACACGAAGTGGATGTTCCCATTAATTATTAATTTCCCTTTTTAAAATAATGTCAGAAAGTTAAGCCCCACCGTTTTGGAACGACGTCTTTCTCTCATTACTTTTATCGCCGATATACAGATTTAGCCAAGCCTAACAGCGGACCTCCAGTTAAATGACTCATTTTCCAGCCCCCTACAGCACTGGCTGTCGAAGAACATATTGAAGGGAATTTGGGGACTAGTCGAGCGGGGGGTAAAGGGGAAGTATCAGGGTCTGGAGCCGAGGGACGATGTACTCGTAACTGCAAAGTGACCCGCCCTGACCATTACCTCAATTTGTTTCACGGAAGCTCCGAGTTCAAATCCTCGGTCATGCTTGTAAATAGCCAACTGGTTTGCCTCCGGCCAGTTAGGATTCTTAACAATGTTATGTTCAATTTTCATCACTACGTCTAAATTGCTCCTTAAAATTATCGTATACTGCGCTGTCCTGAAGACCTAACATGTCTAAGCTGCATAGCTGCTCGTAATCGGTGTTCATTTCCGCCACACCAAGCACAAAAACTCTACCGAACTTAGCAAACACATCTGGACACTCAAGAACGACAACATTGACTATTCTATCTCATGGCGCATCTTATCATCTAACTCTCCCTACAACAGCTCCAATAAAAGATGCAACCTCTGCCTAAAAGAAAAATTCCTGATAATTTACCGACCCGACCTCTCATCACTAAATAAGCGTAACGAACTCGTATCTTCATGCCGACACAGAAACAAAGCGTTGCTACGCAACAACTGAACTTTAAAGTTTTTAAGTTTACCGCGCATTATGCAAATTTTCCTAGTATATAAACGATAGTCACATGAATATTCTTTCATTAAACCCCTGAAGAGTGAAGCGATTCACGAAACAGGCTTGTCGGGAAATGTAGTTACGTCCTTTTTTCCTCTCATAATATTTATTCTGCTCTGCTTCAACGTATTGAGCACTGTTCCACGCGAAAATCGACTTGCAGACTTCCTATATATATATATATATATATATAACTG